AGAAACAAACAGATCTTCTTATAACACTGCACGGTCTGTCTCTTGAATGTAAATAAGCCTCCCTGGCTGGTATTGTGACTTGTGAGAAGCCAAGCGTATTTGCAAGGTCACGTGTGTGTCACTTTGACGCGAATTGTCGCAACTGTTTCCTTATCTCGAGCAATCACCTCCAGCCAGCATCAAGACGCGCGAGTGTTGAGCGCGGCCGAAAGCAGCTGCGCGCATCACGTAATACTCAGCCACGTATTACATCAAAAAAGCAGGTGACGTCATATTTTGACAGACTTGCCGAGGGAGGAAGAAAGAAAGCGGCTAAAAAAAGAAATTAATCAGACGCCAGCTCTCGTCGGACGTGCTTATTTGCGTGAATTAAGCAAGAGATGACAGGCGTCTGCAGAAGGCCGTCACGGGTTAAAAGCAAGTCAAGTTTTTTTCCCCCAGAGAAAAATTGGCTCGAAAAACAGCCAATTTGGCGCTACTGGGCTTAATTTTACGCGAGTTAATTAATTCTCGCTCGCCCTAATGCAATTTGTTTGCCCTGTGAGACTAATTTTTAATTTCCGCTTAAGTGAATTAGGCTACAGTTTTGAAAGGAAAAAATTCCACTCATTGACATCATGGGATGAATTAACCAGGGCCAGCTAAATTGAATTTCGACCTTTCATGGAGGAAATATCAAAAACTTTTTGAATGTTTCCACTCGCTATTGTGTAAATAATGACTAATGACACACAATTGAGAGGGATATATATTCAACTGGATGCAATTAAAAATAAATTCGTGGAAGTGGCTTTTTATCAAGACCCTTCTTTGTCCCTCCCAGCGTGTGTATTTATTCCGCAGGCAGAGAGAAAATCCAATTTGAGGAAGTAGTTGGAAAAGTGCGTCGGTCCGTCGTGACAATAAATAAGCTTTTATTAGCAATTGATCGCGCCATATGTTGCTGCGGCCGCTGCCGGTCTAATTATCCATTCCGGGCACACATGGGCCAGCAGCGGGGCTCCATCCTCTCTTTTTTACCCACCGGCGACGCTGGCTGCACTGACAGCCCGCTAATTTCTTATTAGGCCGACCGCACACACCAGCCATGCACACACAAAGGTGCAATGGGAAATATAAAAAGCGAGGGTATAAGGGACGTGTCGCCCGCCCGCTTAATTTCCTCCAGCAAACATTCAGCGTGCCAAGGGGAACGCCAACATTAAAAACTTTTTTCAAACGTGCTTCCTCCTCAAGTGCGTTTCCTCTGCATAAAGAAGCCATGATAAAACTTTTTCCCTTCAAATAAATATTCAGCTATTAAATTAACATTAACATTGAATTTAGAAAAAAAAATGAAGAGTAAATAATTTTGATTTTAAATTATTTTCAAGTTAATAGAGGCTCACGGATGGAGGTCTTCTTTATCTCAATCGTTTTCTTGCTAAATTCTTGTCCAAAAATTAATTTATTTTAAATATATATTTACAACAATTGAATGTGAAAATATATTTGTAGCAATGTGGAAAAATAAACAAAAATAATAATAATTATAGAGGAAATATTTAAATTTTGAAAGTTCAGAAAATGTGCTCTCATTAGTCTCATAATATTGACTTTGCTTCATTATCTTTTTATGAAGCGATTTTTGTGGAAAAATTCTTGATGTTTATAATCATAGTTTTGCACACAAATTGGTGTTTATTTCAAAGCTTTGAGTCTACGGGAAGCCCAGACAAAATTTGCACCTTGAGTTTCCTTCACGTTGAGGATATTTGTCATTAGAGCGAGTTGCTTTGAGGTAGAAAATTAGCCACCTTTTATACTTGCCGGTTTCGCTTCCCAGAGTTGTGTCGCCGTTCCCTCTGAGCAAATTAAGTTCGAGTCGGAAAAGCAAGCACGGAGAGAGAGATCGACTTGTCCCATGTTTGCTGCAACTCATTTCCGTTTTCACGCCGCCTAAGCAAGCAAAAGCCATTCAAATAGAAGCAGCTCGCTCGCTCTCTCGACAAATAAAACGAAATTGTTGCTTTAAATAACAATGAGCGATGACGACTGATAAGCTCTCGGAGCGCGAGAGGTTAATGACAGGCGGCCGCAATTATGCGTGCCGAGACCTTTCCGCGCGCGCGGCACCACTTCTTGCACTTTTAGATTGGACCGAGTTGACCTCTGAGTTAGCAGCTGCGCGTCCTTATCGACCGCCGTGACCATGAGACGCTGGCGTGGACAATTTGCTCGCTGTGAATCTTGATCGCAATGTTTGCATTTTCAAGATGGAATGAAAATGAGGAACTCGTTCACAAATTTATGTTGCTTAACATTATTAATTTTAATATTTGAAATATGTTAAATCTAATTTCTATTTTGATGATCAAGTTTTTAAAATGATAAACCCTTAAAAATTTATTGTTATTTTGGATCTTAAAAAAATTATTCAAATTGTTTTTAATTTCTGAAAATTAAATTATTTTAACAAAAAACTGTTTTTAGTTTACACGATGGATTAAATTTGGCATTAAATTTGTTAGAGGCAATAAATTTAAAAAAAATCTTATCCCACAGTGATAAAATTTGTGATTTTAACAATAAATTTTACATTATCCAAATAAAGATTTGGCTCTCAAAATATTAAATAAAATTTTTTTAAATTATTAATTGATTATTTCTGAAAACATGGTAATGAATTTTCAAACCGGATTACCGTATGATTTAAAGCTCCAAATGTTTGCAGGAAAATTTGCGCTTTTGTGCAAATCAGCAATTTCGGTTGATCACCTCGCGCCGCGTTTTCAGCTCGTTATTTTTCCATTCGGCTTGCCAACGCTGTGTGTGCGAATTAGAGCAATTAGAGGCAGGCGCTCTTTTTTATTCTAAATGCCTCATCATGTTTTCGCCGGCGAGCGTACAGAAAAAGAGCCATTAGCAGGGCGCAATTTGCAATGTTATCGCCGAGTGTAAATGGGCGAGTCTTGTTCTCGAGCACACAAATATAAACGTGCACACACAACTACCAACTGATATGACATGTACATGTATAAATAAGCAAGCGAGCAGGCGGAGGTCGAGGAAATAAAACGCTGGAAATGTTTCAAATAAACTTGAGGAAATAAATCAGCACGAAAAAAGGCAATTTTCCGGGCGAGCACGTTCTCAAATTGCTAGTGCAGAAAAAAAATGAGACAATTAGTAAATTTGGACGGTTAAAACCCGTTCGGAGTTGCAAGTGAGGATTCGGCGCCGCGACAAAAAGTAGCAGAGCCCCTTGTTTGCATTCATCGCAGAAACAAAAGGCGTTTTAAATCGCACTCGGCGCAGTTTTTGCCCTCATCCGAGTGAGTAAGTTTTAGTGCAGATGGCGACAAATGAATAATTCATCCTCTAAGTAAGTCGATTTGTTTTTTGCCTCACTCTCTCCAGCTCAATTGAAATTCCTGCCTGTGCCTCTGGTGCCGGAATGAGGAATACAGATTAGAGCCGTAGGGCGTCGACGCTGCTCGCGCTCATCCGCCGGCATTAATTCAATCCAAATTACGTCGGCTGCAGTACCAAAGAAAGAAAGAAATAAAGAAGAAAGTGTAGGGCACAGGAAGGATTAGATCAGTTCATTATGCTGGAGGAAGAGCGACGCGCGAAACGAGAATGGCCCCTGCGCCTTTTATTAGCATTATTCCGCAGTGTGCTCTCTCTCTCGCTTTTTATTGCTCGCCGCGTGTTTATGACCTCTGCTGCTTCGCGGAAATGTCGCTGATAATATTTCACGCCAGCACTCAAAAGTAGAGTTGCAAATTTTGAACGGCAGCTCTCAACTGCCAGCAGAATGAGGTGACAATATATTCCAAAAAATATTCCAGAAAAAATTTTCGTTTCTCTTGTTGTTCATATTGGCCAAATTTAATTATTTAGATTGAAATTGGAACATGAGAGGACATTAAAGATAATTTAACAGTGAAACACCAAACCTCAAATTCATAATTAGAATCTTTTAACTTGCAAGAATGTATCAATAAGAAAGTTTAAAATGTATGTTTAGAAACTAAATTAATAAAAAAGTATTTGAATTATTTCTTAATTTTATGTAGAAATTTGGTGAAGCACTGTAGTATTTCAATATTTTGTAATTTTGACAAAAAGAATTCAAAATTATTTGCAATAACATATAGTTTTTAATAATTTATTAGTTGATAATTGCAACTATTGAAAGTTACTTTTTTCATCAAATATTTTTTTCTATTAAACATATTAAATGTTAAAATTATGAGAGCACTGGAGAGCACTTTTTAAATACTAGTTATAATGTCAAATAAAAAGTTAAAAAGCTTAAAAAATTACTTAAACTAAAATTAATTTATAATCCGAGTTCCCCAAAGAAAACTTTTAAAAGTATATTCCTGTTTACACAAAAGCTCTGAAAAGCAGCATATATCAAGTTTGATTAATCTGCGTTTGTTGCGGAAAGTTTGCTCGTAATTTCGTCTGCTAATCCGCTTTTCGCAGGCTGGAGCCAATTGCAAGTTTAACGACACCTTTTAATGCGTCGGCAATTTCGCGAACGAATAAAATTCAGAGTGTCGCTGCGTATATATCTCTCCCTCTCGCTCTCTGCAAATCCCGGCACAACTTTTGATCGATACTCGGCTGGAATTACCAAAATCGTCCCTTGAAAACAATGCTCGTGGCAGCGCAGGGGCTGCGCTTTGATTTTATGAGAGGCGCGCTCACCAGCAGTTTTATAAATAAAATTATAAAAATAGACGGCGGTGGATGCGCGCGAGCTGCTTGTTGTGTAAAAGCCCCGAAACGCCCGCTGCTGCTGCTGGCGGCACGTTATTTTCTCATTATTTCACAAAGGAACATGGCCACTAATTTAAAAGGCTAATTTAATTTCCCGCCGCGCTGTGACTCTTGCGCTGCGTGTGCGGACATTTACCTCCTCCATGCAAATTGCGAAATAATGTGCGCGAGCCAAATTCTGTGTCTTGTATGTACAAACTGTTCAAAATGCAATCTTTGGGGCTCACCTTGTGGCTTAATTGCTTTCTTCTGCTGCTCGCCGCACAACCGGCTAAGCTCTTTGACCGAAAACTTTGCGCGATCAAAGAGCTCCAAATCCCGCTTGCGTGCTCCAACAAACTTTGCTTCCTGGAAGACGCCGACCAACGTAATCTTCATCTGCAAAGAGAAAACAAAATTAATCGTCAGATTGCGGAATAACTGAGCATAAAAGTAAACCTAATTTCAAATAGAGGGTTTTCAATTAAAAAAGTTGTCTTTATTTTCATAAATGATATAATTTAAAATCAGTTCCACAAGTTTTGGGCACCCTGTTTATATTTAAGAAAAAATCATACAAACACATTAAATAATTTTTATTAAATAGAAAATATGTGTTCTGTTAATTAATTGCGGTTTTTAATAATTTTTTAATATCTGTAAAAAAATCAAGCAAATGCAAGAACTTTCAATTAAATTTAAAAAAAAAAAACTTATACCAAATCGCCCTTTTTGCCCGTATTTTATTTTGCTTTCCGTTGCTGCAGCATTGATGTTTGACGCATGCACAAAAGAACGCTCGTTGCAAATGTCAATGCGCAAGCAATAAATCGAGTCTGAAAGTAGCTCGACGCGGAATGCGTATACATATCCACGGAGAGCAACAAACAGCAAAAAGCATCCCCTCGGGACGCGATTATGCGGCTACAGGTGCAGATAGGTGAATTATTCGGCCGTTTGGCTGATTTGGCTCGAATTTATTACTTTTTCGCTGCCGCTGCTGACGTCACGTTATTTCTGTGGCACAAAAAAGGGGAAACGAGAGAGGAGCTCTCGAAGAACATAAATTGCCATCGTGGGAAATGGCGGTCTATTTCGCTATCATTTCTCGCGCGGCGCGACCCAACATCAATTTCCGAAGAGCACCGTTGTGTTTCGCGACAAGCAAATGAGCGAAAATCGATGGACCAAATGGAGCTGCGATGATGCGCCATGCATTATCGATCTCCGCTCCCTGGCGAGGGAAAAAGTTTTTTAATATTCCCGCATGCATCAATGGATTGAATGGAATTACTGTTTGAACAGACGAGCCCGCCTTTTCTTTGAAGAAAAATTATTCATCTCTCTCCTCCGCACCCTCCGCAGACCATAAAGACAAGAATCTCTTTTCTTATATGTTTTATTCCCGGGCCGTATACATAAAAAAATTATATAATCCGCGCTCCTAGAGTTTACGCAGCAATTTGGATTTTTATTCGGGCGGAACGCATAATAGACGAGAGGAATAAATTCAATTGCACCGTCCCTTCCACTTGGCGGGGGTTAATTTGGAAATAAAGATGTGGGCGATATAAAATACATTTTATAAATCATCTCTTGCGGACAAGAGCTGTAGAGCGACTTTTATATTTATTTGGCGCGCTCCCGGCGGGCGGCCGGGCAGAAATATGGATTTCCCCTGCTCATATGTAGCCTCTTGCCGCAGAATGACTTCTTCTTTGTTGTTTTATGCAATCGATAAATTATTATCTGTGGCACGAGGCTGTGATATATTTCCCGAAATAAAGCCACCGAAAGCAGCCGAGGGTGAAAAATGCGTCTGTTTTTTGCACGAGTGGATCCGAAATGACCTCGCTGTTTACAACCAGAGAGGGACAAAAGGAAATAATGCTTTTCGCAGGCAAGACTTTTGTTTTAATTGGCGAATGTGTTTGCCACAAGGAAAAGGTCTCGCACGGAATCGCTCCAGGTTTTAATTGAAAATTCGGGGCTGTGTTTAACCTTTATTTCCGCTTGAACTTTGCCTTTCAAACGAGAATTGCCGCGATTAAGTTTGTTTGAACGACAAATGAAACTCCAGTGAGATGGGAATGCTGGTTTCAGAAAGCTTTCTTGTTGATACAGAAAAGTGTTTGAAGTTGAAATTTGGAGTTTTATTAAAATAAGCGAAAATTTGCAAACACATTAGTTATTTATTTAATTTCTTTTTGTTACTTGAGGTTTGGAGTAAAAACAATACTTTTTTTTAAGAATGATCAAGTTTTTATAATTCGATGATGTCATTTTGTATGGGCAGAGTCAAAAAATTTAGTGCAAAAACTGTTGCCTTTAGTGACGAAACCTTGGGCGTGTTTTGCAAAACCCTTTTGAAAAAGCCGGGGCTTTTATAATTCAAAACGCTCGCTTTTGCACAGAGCATACATTGCAGCAGCTTTTCTATATTTTCCCGGGCCCGCGACTGCCATTGTAACAATTGCGAACAAAGGCGCGGTGGAAAAATTGCAACCAGCAGCAGCAGCCAGGCAGAGAGCGAGTTTTTCAAAAAGACTTCTTCTTTCCCCGTTCGCTTTTGTTGTCTGGCGGCAGAGAAAAATGAATGAATGGCCGCCGCGCCGCCACTGCTGTGAAGAAAGAAAGAAAGAGAGTCTTTAGAATGCAGATCGATTCCCGTCCGCCTGCTGCTCCAAAGACAAAAAATTCTTGCATGTCCCAGCGCCAGAGAGCGAGCATCACATATTCTTTTTAATCATGCGGGGGTTGCAAGGGGTGGCCGGAAGTTCAATATCCACCAGCCCCTGCTCTCTCGCATGTGTTTGCTTTGGATGTGCTCTCAAAATTCGGCTCTGCCTCTCAGCTTGTTTGACTGCTCTCGCCAAATAAAGTGTTTTTCTTGCGTGTGCGTGCCTGCAGCAGTATTTTTAGTGTTCCTTCGCGCTCGCTCGCAGCAGCGAGAGCGAAACCGAGGTTTGCTGTTTGCATTTTGGAATTGCGGTTTCAGCAGCAGCAGCAGATATATGTATAATACCCTAGCTGCTTCTTGGCAAAACTTGCGGCCGCAATTTATTCCGAAAAGATAAATCCGGGCAGCGCAGTATTTTGCCACAACAGCGAAAGAAGACCGAGCTGCAAAAAATAGCCCTGCCCTGCTGCGGAGTATGCGAAAAAAATAGAAAAGGATCCCAGCTGTGGAGAGGGTGGAAAAAAAAGAGTGCCACAGAATTTTGTACTTGACCTCGGATTTATGCTTTTTTTGGAGCGAAAAGGAACACGCAACGTAAAGTTGGAAATTTGTGCCTTTTGAGCTGAACCCTCGCAGGAAATGCAGAAGGAGTGACAAAAATTAGGAAGCAAAAAGAGGGCGCCTTTTCTATATAAAAATTTTAAAATTTCCTCAAGAATAATTATTGTTGTATTTATTTTACTAAAATTTTCTATGTCCAAAGGATTAGATTTGCTGCACATAAATCAATGTGTTTTTATAAATTTTTTGAAAATAAATTAAACTTAAATTCAAAGATTTATCTATTAAAATACAAATTCCACACTTGCACACTTTCTGAATATTATTTTTATCTCTATGCAGCAGTAAAAGATTTTATTATTTTTAATTTCAATAAATACTTCAATGTCCCTAATTTGGCAGCCACGCCAGTGAAATTGACGTGCCAAATTTAATTAGATGCGCCAAATTTTGAAGGAGACTAACTTCTAGATGTGAAGTTTGGAAGAGCATTAGGCAAACTGATTGATTAATTTCATACGGAAGGCAATTAGTAAAGTTGTCATCGCACGCAGATGAACTTGAAGAACAAAAGGAGCGTCGATGATCGCTTTGAAAAGGACGAGGCACTCGAGAATTCTCGCGTGGCGGCGGGCGTATTGGAATTCCTGCCTGCCTCCGCGAGTTTGAAACCAGAAGCACTCGACTCGCATCTCTCTCTCATTCTGGTCTCCCCGCAAAATTCGAAATCGCTGCAGCTTTTTGCGCCTCTCCAAAACCACTTGCCGCGATATCGATTTTCGCGTTGCGCTGCACGGCGCCCTCGCGGGATTTTCGAAAAGCCGAGGCCAAATAAAGAGATTGATGGTCCTGCGTTATTTACAGATTGCTCGCGTCCTTTGTTTTGCCCTCTCCTCTCTAATTTCTCTCGTCTTTCCTCGCTCGACTTGTCTCTTTGTGTGCCTGCGCAAAGAAGCACTTGAGACTGCGCTGGAAAGGAAAAGCCACCCTCGGGCGGCCGATCTCTTCGTTCGTTTCCACCCCGTTTTTTTCTCCTTTACCTTTCGTTTTCATTACTCGTGTGCATTTTTTGAGTGGCCGTCCGACGCAGTTGGAGGAGCAAATAATAAAAATTTTCCGCGCTCGACCCTCTCCACGGGTGCATAAAAAGTCTTTCCTCACAATTCACTTACTTTTCCCGTTCTTCGGCGGGCTCTCCACAAAATCCCCCGCTTTAAAAATCGCGCCACGTGCTGCAGCCGAAAAGTGTCCTTTGAATTCCCGGCGCCTGCCTGCTTTTTAACCGGGGGAAAATTGCCTGTGGAAATTTCTCTCGGCATAAAAATTCTAAGGCTCTTGAAATTACGGCACGTGGAAAAATTCCCTCCGCCTCGGTTTTTAACAGACTCCGCGCGGCGAGAAATTCCTCCGAGCGAGAAAAGAACGAGCAAAGAAAGGGGTGACGAAAGTTTTGCAGGCCACTCACATTCTTTTAAAGGGTTCATTCCAGCAACTCCCACCCCCACGTGCTCACCGACGGAGGGAAATTAACTTTTGATAAAAGTGGAAATCGGAGATAAAATAAACCCGAAATGGTTGCGAACTTTAAGGGTAAAAAGAAATTGAGTTTCTGAGCAGATTTCTCATCAATTCAGTTTTTTTTCTTTTTAATGAAAAAAAAACTTGTTTATCTTCTGAAGGAGAGTTTGTTATAAAAATATGATAATTTATTTTTGCATTTTTTCTATTTAATTATCTCAAAATTTAATTTGTACTTTGTACCGCTTTTTGTGGCTAAAAGGTGCAAATTTAACCGCTGGCAAAACGTTTTCGCTCAGGCTGAATGAGAAGCAGCAGCCGAAACCAATAAAATACGCCTCTGGTTCTTTTTTGCCCGGAGCTCCGCCGCGACATCGGCTTCCGAATACAAACTAAAAAGTTTGATCGCCAGTTTTTTCGGCTGCTGGAGAGAGAAAAAAGTAGTTTGCAACTCGTCGAGTCATTTGTTCGTCAGCAGAGGAGCTGTCGATAAAGAAGTGGCGCTGCGAGATGATAAAAGCAGTCGGTTGGCGTCTATTGGCACTATTGAATTTCCTCTGCCCCGGCTATATTATGGATTGGGTCGCCTACACGAGAATTTGTATTCGGGGCGAGAAGCTGCTTTTTCGGGCAATAATAAACAGCGGAGAAGAGCATCAGATAATATCACCTGGCTCTTTATCGTGCTGGGGGGAACGCGCGATTATGATGTGGCACGATGCGGGCGGGTCTTTCTCTCTCTTGCACCGAATAATAATAATAATAATGAGGCCAGGTCACGCAGCGGCGAAACCCAATGAGGGCCGTGTCAATGCAAATTAGACTTACGTATTACCGACCGGCTGCTCTTTCTCTCTGCGGGGGAAAGAAAGGAGGAAGAGTTTTGTTACATTTTTTTTATACTCTCCCTTTCTTTATGTATTTTTTCGAGCGCGAAGGCGGGAAAACGACGGAACTGCGCGATAAGATTTGTGTTTAGGAAATTCTCGACGAGATACGTCGCGCATGTCATTTGCATTTTTTACACGCAGGCTTGTCTTTTTATGCTTGAGCGGGTCTAAAAACGCGCTCGTTTGGTTTCAATTTCGCTCGTCTCTCATTTCGGCTATGGCAATGCAAAATAAAGGAGGGCCAGAATTTCAAATGAACACCGAGGTCATTGGCCCAGCGGTTATTGCGTGCAGATTTATGGCAATTATTTAAAAATTAGAGGAAAAATGGACAATATATCTAAGGTTCCTATCAAAAGTTATTTAAAAATAAAAATCAGCTTTATTTCAAACAAGTTGCAAGGAAAAGTAAAAAAGATCATATGTCATAAAAAAATTTATTTCAAGTTTCATAACGAAGTCCATATTGCTAGTGTTGGAATACTACATATAATGAATTTTATCTAAGGTTATTTAAGTCCAAATTTATTTTATGACGTTACGCCTGAGCTGCTTCAAAATAAATTGTTCAAATTTTACCAAATAATCCAGCCACTTTTTTAAAGCACGGTCTTCATTTGAGATTATTTGGTTAAATTCTGGATATTGATTTAAATCAAATTTTTATTGATTCTAACAGATCAGCGAATAATTTCTGAGTTAAATTTAAAATTTCTTCTTCTTGAAAGGAAACAACCACACGTGGACTAAAGATATATAACTTAATTGAAAAAAGGTTATCATTTTTTTTCTGAGCGACCACTAATTAAAATATTTGAAATATTTAATATTTGTCATGCAGTAAAAAGCCACCGAACGTCAATGCACTATCAAAATCAGACATGACGCGGCAAGTATTTTTTTTTATCACAGTTCGTTGAGGAAAAACTGTAGAGAGTTCTATCTAAAAAGGAAGCACCGGGGCGACCTCAGTCACACGTATCAAGGGAAACCGCAATCAGGGCTGGTGATATTTGTATTTGGCGGGGCAAACACCCAAAAAGTGTCTCTCCAAAATCATAAATAAAGCTCTTCCTAAAATTATATTTTATATGTGGCCAAAGGAAAAAGGGAGTTTGCGAAATCCTATAAGTTTGAAGTTATTGTCCGCTGGCTGCTGGGCTTTGCCGGTTGTTAGAAACTAATTTCAGAGCGACGCCTGCTTTGCTTCAGAGGCGGATTGTTTGGATTTGAACACGTGTTGGAGTTTCCGAGTTGCTTGGCTGCTGTGAAACTATACTGAATTCACATGCGGCCGTCTTCCTGCCCTAGTGGGGCGCACACTGAGAGGCCAGGGGCGCGTCTAACCCCCTGCAAGCTGTACTAAATGTTGCAGCACTTTGGTGGAAAGTAACTTTTGGTCGGTTAGTTAGTTAGCTAGTTTGGTTAGAGCTGTTTCGTCCTCTATGATGGAGGAGCTAACTTTTCCGAGGGCGAAAGAAAAATTCAGCGGTTGGGGATTATGAGGTTCGATGGGGATCAAAAGTTTTTCTGACTGGAATTAACGCCTAAATCATTAGGGCATTAACGATTGGAAACGTGATAAACGGACATAGAGAATTTATTTCTAAATCCCGCTAAATCCAAGGTTTGAATAAAATTTAATACTTATTTTTTCCTTGAGGCCACTAATGAACATAAATAAATGATGGGGACATAAAACTGAAAATTTTAATTATTCCATTGGAATATTTTTTCTTTTTGAATAATTTAAAAATATAAATGCCCAAATAACAAGTGAATCCTTATATTGGTTTTGGATTTCAATTCAAGAATGGGTGAAAAAACGGCTCAATCTTTACAAGAAATTAATCAATGATATATTTCAATTTTTGTGTGTTCAAATTTCCAGTTTTTCTTTACATGCACCTCTCAGCAGTCCCGCCACTGGGCTCTGGCATTGGTGGTGGCGGAGTAAAAAAAATGTTAAAAATAACCTCGAAGACGTGCGGCAGATGAGAGCACGTGTTTTATAAGAGCAGCATCAAATAGAGGCTCAAAAATAGACAAGCGTCTGCAGTTTTTCGACCGCGGCGCGTCTATGGTGTGGATCCCTCGCTCTAACTTGGGCAAATAGACACAGTGCGATAAGGACGCGCAACAATCCTCGCTCTCATTGCTTGGCATAATTTTTTTCCACCGCCTCCGGCTGCTCGTTAAAGAGAACAATAACAATTACAGAGCGAGAGCCGGCGGCGTTCATTAATTAACTAATAGACGGGTTAACGCGGTAATTAATTACCGACCCAATTTATGGTCCTAATTTATTTGTAAAAATTAATGGTTCTCACGTTTTGGACGCGTCGCTCGCACTCGTACTCGTCCATCACCCTCTTCCTGCTCGACCTGGAAAACACACAAATGATTTATTAAATTTTCGCTGACGTTTTCCGTGAATTGCTGAAGAGTTGTTATTTGTTTTTCATCACGGTGTTGTGCGTGCGGGAATGCGCGGCTAATTAGCGGCGCCTGGATTAAAAACAAGCTTTTTCAACTCACACGATTATTCTATCCATATTTTCGTGCCGTGTTATTCAGCAGAATTAATTTTTATTTATTATGCACCAAGAAAAGAAATTAAAAGCCTCCATTAAAACTTTGAAACTCTCTCACCGAAATATATAATTTTTGGTTAAAAATTCAAATTGACTTTGGAAACATGCGGTAAATGTGTTTTTCACATATGAGCAGCCAAGTCTCACAAGACGGCGAGGGTTAAAAAAGAAGGGCTGCTGGTTGGTTGGTGCGGCAATGTAATTTGGCCGCTTTTAAGCACACCAGCGAGGCAAAAAAGGTTGCGAGAGGGACTCGTAAACTTGCTGACTGAGAGAGCCTATATGAAAAAAGAGTTTGCATTTTTCCTTTACCAGCGAGGGTGCCTTTCGCCCACACAGATTCGCGGCGCACTTTGCGCCGAAAGGTGCGTTCGCGCAGCCAAATTGCTTTGCGACCTGCAATCGTGGAAAAGGCACGTTCACATTTTCAGCCGCAACACCTTTTCCTTTCTGTGCGCCGTCATTATACAAGAGCAGCATGAGAAGAAAAGAATGATTCAGAACCGCTTTTGATTGGCCTGATATCGTACTTTAAGAGAAATAGGGCTATTGAATTATTATAAAAATACTGAGGCTCACTGCGGCGGATAGTTATCTCTAGTAAAAAGTGGCAAAATTTTATATTACACAGTAATAATTTTGAATACTTAACTGCATCAATATGATTATAAAAAATATTATAAAATTAAAATTAAAAAAAAATTAATCATTGGGGTTTTTTATTTTAATTTGTGAGAAAATTTAAAAATAAATATGAACAAATTGGTAAATTAATTTTTTATAAAACTGAAAAATAATTTACAATATTTAAATTTGTATTTTGACATAAATTTACTGCACAAATATAAACAAATTTGTATTTGATGTTAAGAACATTGTATCCTTACTTTATAATAACAATATGATACAGAGAATTTTTCTTAAAAATTTCAAAGCTGCTAAAAAAATCAATACCGTGTGAGACCTTGTTTCAGTGGTTGTTGGATGCTTTTGAAGAGCCCTCTCAGCACTTGAGTGCGAATCGTGCCGAACAAATGGAATAAATTTGAAAGTTACATAAGGGATTGTATCGCCGTTGCTGCTTTGAGAGGAGAAATAAGAGCTGCAGCGTCGGCCAGAGAAAAGGTACGGGAGGTGCCAACTGATCGAATCACTTCGTGCTCTGCTCTTTTGTGAGCTGGCTGCCAGCTAGCAACTCCTTCTTCCTTCGAGAAGCGGCTGAGGTTGCGAAAATTGACAGCCGAAAGATCTGCTTTTACAGTTACTGTCTCTCAAATACGCTTTTTATTCCGCGCCCGTGTCACTCCCGGGAAGAGCTCACAGAATATTTGCATCTGCTGGAAAATGCGATTCCGTCCGAAACGGAGCTCCCCATATTTTTTATTCCTCTTTCTGTGTTTGCGCTTTTGAATTTTTCATTCGCCGCAGCACCGCCGAAAGAGGTTGCCAGATTAGTGCGCGCCGAGCAAAAATACATTTTCATTTCGCAGTATGCGCGCCGAATGAAATTCCTCTCGGCTGCAAAAGGGAGAAAAACTTCAAACGCTCTCTTGCCAATCATTTTAATAGGCAATCAGCCGCGGAAAAAGCCGCATTACATTTTTTTTTCGTGTACAAGCAGGTCTGATTATTTACCATCTGCTGGCTGCAATAAAAGAGCAAAATAATCGTAATCACAAAAAGCTATAGAGCTGCGCGCGTTTATTTTATTACTAATCAGACGGCGCGGCGCTTAATTGGAAATACGGGCAGTTTAATTTATTATACTGACGTCAGCTGCACCGAGTCATTTAATTAAGCCTGCCGAGCTCTTATATTTTCCATTGTAGTTAATAATTGTCAATTGCTTTTTGCTCCAGAGGAGAGAGAGAAGGAGGACTGCGCTTTTAATTGATAATTATTGATGCAAATGCGGTGCAGCCACATTAAATTTAATGCAAGATGGATTTGACTCTAATGCAAAATGGTAATTGCTTCGAGGAATAAAGGCAAGGATATAATCTGCGATTCATCGGAGGCTGCAAAAAACGGGAGAGATTATTGATTTCTGGTGTGCGCCAGTGACTCATGCTCCAAGGCGTGAATCTTTTATTCATCAGCAGCTCCCACTCAAACGTTTTAATTAGCTCAAAACCGAAGCAAAATTTTCATTTCGAAAGTTCTGATCAGAAAGTTGTAACAATGACTTTTATATACGATTTGAAGGTCGACCAGATATATTAATGCACATGTAATAGAAAGGCACAGCAACTGTAACAAGAATCACGAGGTTGAAGCAAAATGAATTTTTTCCAGTTAGGTAATTGACCCTTAGGGCAAGTGGTGACAGCTTCCCTTCAATGTCTCGTTAAAGTTATTTTATGAAGCACTTTGGAACAAAAAAAGAGTCACTTGTTATTTCATTAATTGTTTCTAACTTTTGTCTCTGGCCAAGAGCATAATATAAAAAAAAAAAATTGTAAAACAAGAAAAGAAAAAATAATCATAATGTTTGAGCAGCTCTTCTTCCGCCTTATTGAATTTTTCTTTCTACGAAATTCTCTCAATCCAATTAATTTCCTGCGCCTCCAAGTGTTTCTTCCCTTTTTGTGTGGCGAAAACCGTGCTCCAAAGAAACCGTACAGGTCGTTTAATAGCCCGTCCTCGTATATAAAAACTAAACGAAACAGAAGCGGCGGCGAAAGTAAACGTGCGTATCGCAATTTGGCCTTTTACCACTGGGCGGCCATCAATTGGTCCCATATTTACTTTCGGCCGTTTCATTGTTTTATGCGCGTTCAACTCGTTTCGTTTGTGCGTGCGTGCGTGCCAGCATTAACCATTCATGGGTTTAGCCGGCGGCGGGCCGACCTGCTCTGCGCTGATGATACTCTTTAATGTGTATCAAACCCTCTCCGCTTTTTGCGACACTGCGCACAGCAGCAGCAGCTCGCAAAGCCGCAAAAACGCTGACGACTCTCATCTTAATAGAAACGCCGGTTTTGCGGCCCGCAAGAATTGGCACTGAAATTTCAATTGGCGCCCCTTTGTGAGCGACACTCTGCGTGCAGACCGCGCGCCACTTCATGTGTGCCAAAATTCGGCAAAAAAGAAACCCTTGTGCACATTTTTATACAACAGAGTATTCAAACGATACTGCTGTGTGGTCTTTTTAAGTGGGGATTGGCACAAGCATAGCCAAATGAAAAAAGGGTCGCATATCTTTTGAAGCTTCCAGTTTCCGTTAAAAATAAATGATTTTTGATAATTTGGTAGTAAAAAAAGAGATTTGATTACCATTTTATGTATTGCTATCGGAAGAATATGTTGTAATAATATATTAATTTGCGAAGCGGTTCAATGATTTTTACAACAAAATCTGGGATTCTTACAAAGTGGCTTTATGATATGCATATTTTTTCTCTCAACTGTAAAAATAAGAAATCATTCTTTAATAAGAGGGCTTTCCTGCTTTGCACATGAAACCTGAATTTTTGAGGAATTTCCAGCTCTGTAATTTATAAATTATAAAGACTATTATTATATTCCTCTTTATCAAGTTTTCTAAGGATCGATTCCCCTCGTACTTTGAGAAACATCAGCAAAAAATCGGCGTATATTTTCCGCCAGCTTAGAGGTCATTAGGAGTCGATTCGGTTTCGCCGGCACTTTTGGTAACATTATCTCTGCAAGAGCGAACTCTTGCTCTGCTCTCTGCTCGGTCGTTTTTGCGTGCGCTGTTCAAATTATCCTGCAACATCCTTCCTCTCTCTCTCTCTAGCTCGGCTTAGTATTTTATCACTCCCACAGCAGACCGTCCGCGTTTTGTGTGCAAACTTCTTCTTATCTGGCACATACATGCAATTAAGGCCCCCACGCTCTCTCCCATACCACGCCGAGAATAATCGCGCATAATTCAAAGTAAAGAGAGTGAGTGAAAGAACAGGTTCCACCTAAAAATACACAAAGAAAGAAGCAGAGGCACAATACCGGCCGCGATCGATTGTTGCAGCATGCAGGTGGCGTTTAATGAAGGCGTTTAATTAAACGCGCACTCGTTCAATATGAGATCATTCTGAGAAAATAATGCAATAAAATCGCTCTGTCGGGAATAAATTTTCATATCCAAGGCACAATGAGAGATGCCGGCGAGATAAGCACTGCAGGGAATAATATAATCCCAATAAAAATGCGCTTGTGAACGAGGTGTGTGCACTGCCTCTCGATTAAGATCTCGCCTCGCAGATCCAAGTTTATTTTTAGATCCAAAAATGAATAACGAGCAAAGACCGGAAAAGACCGCTGGAAATTGCTCCAGGGAGAATTTCTGCGAATGACATTTTTGCGCATTTTTGTAATTATTACGCCTTGGTGAGCTTGGCGGCGTAAGATTTGCTTGAAGATGTCACCTCAGAGTTAATCACAATCTTCACATTTATATTAAATTTTCAATCTAGAAATTTTATTCTTTTCATGGATCTATCAGGATTTCAAAATCTTGCTAGTTGCTACTGGCATAATTAAAATATCAATTTTAACAAAAAAAAAAAAAAAAAATGCTTTATTTCAAACGAAAACTGACCTTTCTGTTTCAAGGTCATATGATTTGGACAAAAAATTAATTTCTGTTGAGAAATCGAGATTATCTCCAAAACTGCTTAAATTTCAGACAATTTCAAGCCATGACTAATAATTATTCTCCTTTTTGTGGCATGATTTTTTTCTTACAAGAAAAGGTGGAGAGAAATCAAGTAGGCTTGACAATATCTTATTTTCCACCTGCGCAAGTCCAAAGGTTGATGTACGCACGCA